TCTTTGGCTCCGAGTGCGCCAGGAAACCGCTGCTGCTGCTGCTGCTGCAGTTCGGGTGTGAGGTGGAGCGCCGGTGGATGTCGCAGCCCTGCCGGGTCACAACGCAGATCAGTGAGGGGTCAACAGATTGTTTTAGTGAGGGGAATTCCCCCGCCAGGAGCCCCCTCCCTCCCTCCCTCCCTCCCTCCGCCATGGAGTGCTCGGGGATAATACGACGCCGGAGGCTGCAGGTGAGGGTGGCCGCACAGCTCATCACCATCCTGTGCTGATCCACACTAACACGTCTTTCTTATGGGTTGAGGCCACACAGTCAGGCATGTCATTACACTGAGGGTTCAGGCTTCATTATGTCTGATGACAAGTTACTGTGATTTTCAGTTTGAATGTCAGAGCTCCAACATTATATCAGGAATCCTTGAAACCTCTTGTATATAATCAATGTACATACAGGCCTCAGCACGTTACATTACAGTTCAGCCTCTCAAGCCTTCATGGCCACTTATCATCTCCTATACTGTCACTTAAAACCGATGGCACCGGTCCAGACTATGGAATATAGCAATGTTACACATTGACTTGCAACTAATGATTATTTTCTCAAATAACCAACCGGATCTTTGGTCTGTAAAACATCATGAAACAGTGAAAAATGAGCATCAACATTTCCCCAGAGCCAAAGGTGATGTCTTCAGATTGCATGTCTTAATTCGACCAACAGTCCAGAAGCCAAAGAGGTTCAGCTCACTGTCTGAGGCTGGGAGAAGTGGTCACCACATTACAGGAACTGAAACCATTAAATGTTTGGCATTTTTTTTCTACATTATTTCTTATATTCACCTTTTGAAAGGGTTCTTGTATATCACATAATACCCAAGTGTTTTATATCACAGTTATCAGCTCTTTCTATAACGAGGCCCCTCACTGTGCAGAGAGATCATTTTGGCCCAAATGCTGAAATTCTTCCAATATCTTGAGAAAACAAACCTTTACTGTTGTGGATGAATTGTTTTTGGTGATTCAAATGTGTTCACCAACGTCTATAGGTTCATAAACATAGAGCAATATATGAGTAAAATAGTAGATAAATGGATAATAAAAGCCTAGAATGAAGTTTTGTAACATCACAGAGTTGTAGTGTAAGTAAGTTATGAGTCACGTGTGAATATGTAAGAGAAAAGTGGAGAGTCGACAGATTCTAACAACATTCAAACCATATCTCTACGCTGTGTTATCACTAAGATATTAATAGAAACATCCACCGAATCAGAGGGGTTGAAGTAATTGCCCATTCATTTCCAGGCCGGTCCGCTAATTGATTGATTGACAAATAGTTTTCAGATCTATCAGTATTTCTGTCACTGACAAGGCGGCGTTGGTATCTCTCTGTGTTTGCTTCAGGTGGTGAGATTATCACAACAACATGACCCCGCTCTGCTTATAGTCCTGTACCTGTAACATTCAGACTCGATTGGCTCGTGATGCTCACGTATCGTCACCGTGACGATCCTTCCAGGATCATCACCTCGTTCATTCTGTGGTGGCTTCCTATAGGCTCTCTATGACCGAACGTTAGTAATGAATAGTCACTCATGCGTACTGATATGACGTGTTCAAATGACTGTGTTCATCCATTATGAAGCAGCCTGCTTAACCACGGGTCATACACCCCCACCCCTCCCTCCCCTCCCCTCCCCTCCGTCTCACCCTCCCTCCCCTCCCCTCCCTCCCTCCCCTCCTCTCCCCTCCATCTTTGTGTGATTCAGTCAAGTGAACTGAGCAGAGATGAGCAGCCTGCAGGCCGGGTGGAGTGCAGCCTCCTGTGTGTGTGTGTGTGTGTGTGTGTGTGTGTGTGTGTGTGTGTGTGTGTATTGAGTGAGCGTTTATTTCCATTCATTCAGTCATTCCGATTGCATTATGGCAGTTGTGTTTGCTATAGAATCGTCCGAGCTGCTCCGAGGCAAATTGACCCCTATTACTGTGAAAAGAGAGGGAGGGGAGGAGAGAGGGAAGAGGGTATAAAGGAATCGAGGGAGGATTAGTAGTGAGGTGCTCTGATGGTTCCACGTCTCATCATCCCCACCGCTCAGCCCCGCTGCTCTGCTGTGATGTATGACAGGAACTGCGAGGACATTAATCATCATACAGTCAGACTCACAAAGTCACTGGCATTTTATAGATATAGGCAGGACAGCTGAATGATTTTGTGTGTGTGTGTGTGTGTGTGTGTGTGTGTGTGTGTGTGTTCCTATAACATTGTGTGTTGACTTGTGATTGGCCGTGCATGTCCTATTCAACTGCCTTGTCACTCCCCTGGGTCTCATCATCCCAACCGTCACTCTCTCTTTCACACACACACACACACACACACACACACACACACACACACACAAAAACACACACACACAATCTTTCTCTCAGCACCATATGGTGACACACCCCACCTCCCCTGCAGTTGAGGTCAGGGGTCACACCCATGATGCATTGCTTCAACATGACTAACATGAATGAACACACAGAATGAACATCTGCACCCTGTGACACTGCAGCCCTCCATGTGGCTTGCTGACACGTGTGTGTGTGTGTGTGTGTGTGTGTGTGTGTACTGCTATGAATAGCACATACACACAACTATGATAATAATTTTTATCAGCATTGCATAATAATAGCCACAAAACAATAAGCTATCTATGTTAAAGTCAAACCTTTGTGTGTAAATAAAAATGTTAATATTTATTTTAATGTCACGTTTTATTGAGCCAAAGAAAATCATACACACAGTGAATTATTGTCCCGTTTTCACAATAGAAAATGATTATAAAATGATATTAATATGCATTCACATTTATAAAAACATATGATATGGCGGTATAAGGATTGTCCTTGGGGTGTGAACATTATCTAAGGCGAACAAGCAAAATAAAGAAATCAAAAACAAATAAATTAATAAACAAATAATTAAAAAGATATAAATTTAGATTATAATGCTCCTGGGGCTGTTTTTTTTCTGTTACACATAATTGATGCAAATGAGTCAAAACAAGTAAAAACAAACCTTTAAGTCTTAACAATCACTTTCTCTGAAGCAGTCATTGTGACCACGGGCCTGATGTTCACGTATCAGACATAAAATATGCGGCTGCACATAAATGCAAAGCACCAGAGAGCCGTAGTTCGCGTCACACTCGTGCCTCCTCCCCGCCTATCAGCTCCTCTGCCTCCTCCACCTGTCAGACCCAGCAGATGATGACTGGTCCGCTCCGTCTCTCTTTTACAGGCGCCGCAGCTCAGCCAACGCCATTTCATTATCGCAGGGGCGATTTTTATTCCTTCAGTGCGGACGCGATGACTTGAAGGACACAACAGCAAAGGGCCTTTTACCGTGTGGTCAGATGGCAGGGGAACATGCACCAGAATCCACCACCTGCGTCAAAACCGTTTGCCCCCTGACTGAAGAGGCCGCAGCACAGACACGTGTCATATTATCATCATACAGACAGGAAGTCATTTATAAATGGTTGAACTCGGTTGGAGAAGATCAGACAACACAAGCGCAGCTCTGAATCTAAATGATGAGGAGGAGGTTTGTGAAACGTAACTTTCAAATTTCAAAATGCTCTTCATCTCTGCGCACTTCGCCTCGGGTTGAGTGAGGTAACAAATGATGCGCTGAGGAGATGACAGTGACTCAAAACCATTAAAACAAGCCCCTGGAGTGCACGCACACACGCACACGCACGCACATTGGGACACATATAGGACAACGTGCTTTGACAGAAAGAGGCCAATCTGCAGGTTGGACACTTAAAAATCCCGCCATTAATCTGTATCTGAAAGCACTTGAAGTGTTTCTAAGGCAAAACGCTCATGTATAAACCTCTGCTATTACAATCACCCTGCAGTGAGAATATTTGAATATTCATAGTTTGCACAGCCTCCCTCTCTTTACCGTGAACACACACTCTCCTGTCGGGCTGACAGCCCGGGACTAAAGGGATCACACACTCATTTATAAGCACCGAGACCTCAGCTCGCTCCCCCGCAGGACGCAGCTAAACCTGGATAAAAAAAATAAAAAGAGCAGCTCTCACTGTCAGAAGAGGAAGCAAATATAGTGCAGAGCTGTGTTGCTTTCTAATCTGTGATCAGTGGGCTTGTCGTTGTTTGTGACAGAGCCTCCCATCTGTTGTCAGTCACCCTTCGCCACCGCCAGACTCCATCGCTGGAGCTCAGAGAGCATTTAGCTGTGAACCCGCAGACCGTGTTTGCCTTTATTTATTTATTTATTTATTTATTTATTTATTTAAAAAAAACACTCTTTCAACATGCGGTGACGTGTGAAATGCAACCATGCAATGAGCGATAATCGTGGCTTTGCGACAGACTAATTATACCACGGGAGAATTAAGCCCCAGCTTTTATAGAATATGTCATAGCGCACAGCCGGATGTGGAGCGAGGATCATGTTTCCTTAATGAGACATTGTCCGCTTCATTTTTTATTTTTTTATTTTTTTTTTCCTGGTGTGGAAACGATGAGACCGCGAGTCACAAAAGGCAGATTTAGCAGCAGCGGACCGGTGTGTGCTGGTCCCGGCCTAATGAGGGCTGACGAAGTCTAGATTGGAATTTGGGGAAATGAGTTTCCTCTTTCCGACCTTTTTTTTTACAAATTAAAGTGGAATTGAGGATTATGAGGGAAAAGTCGGGCAGATTATATGTGACAGTAAGAAATGTAATGGAATTTCTACCAGGTTAATAAAGGCCGTGTCACTTGAGGATTTAATAATTGAGCCACCGAGATAATCTACAGTCCTGTAGGTTCACTGCACACAGTATATTTCTGTATGCGCAGCTGCTCCTGTATGTGGAGGCTCAAACCGGGGAAATAAGTCATGAGAGGAGGGAAGCATCATATCCACGGTGCCTGTTTCTTCCTTCAGCCACCAATAGACGGCTGCACTTTGTTTAATGTGCCAACTGGTTCTTTTTTATTGTCTAGACATGCCTGAACTAGAAAGAGCCCCGCAGAGGGACATCAGACAGACAGTGAGCAGATGTTCACAGGTCTGGATTCAGCAGTCTGCTCTGTTCCACTCATTGATGCAATGCATTTAGATTTTTCTCCTTGTGTTTATTTCTAAATGGGCTTTTTTTTTTTGGACCGGTTTCTTTGCCCCTGCAGCACTAAACAGAACAATGAAAGTCTGGTGAGAAATGTCCTGCAGGGCTTCTGCTGATAAGTTAATATGTTTATATGGTCAAATTTTGACCTTGTGACCTACAATTCATCGTTAGGGAGACATGACCGGTTGTAAATGTCAAGGTCATGGTGACGGAGGAGGAGAATGGGTTAATCAAAAGTCTGGACAGAACTTCAGGACAATAAGTCCAGCAGCTGTTGACATACAGTCAGTCTGAACTTCAGTGACCGACAGACCGACATCACCATTGTTTAAGTTCACCATCAGCGTAGCTGCAAACGACACATACTGTGAATTTAAATTAAGCGATTACAATGATTTTATATTCTGCATATTTGATTTCGCCTTTCAAAGCCAAAGATTTACAAACCCTTTGCAGCGAAGAACAGCAGGTTTTAAAAACAGCATTTACACTTTCATCATGGCTTATTTTATTTTTGAAAAATTGTTATGATTCATAAAATAGGGGAAAAAAAAGGAGAGATTATCTTCTTGTTGCAGGATGAGAATTTCCTACAAGGGGAAGGTGGTGCTTTCGGGGGACTTGTGCAGCTTAGTAAGAACACATGAAAACAAACAGTGGACTGTGCAGCTGCTCCGTGGCTGTCAGGTCCGCTCACGGCTTGTTTGTACAGTTAACTCTCCTCATCATTGAGAAGCTTTTCTTGATGCCTCTTGTAAGTCATGTTCCCCTCTGCACCGACAGCTCAGGGTCAATTAGCCCGATCAATGAAGGACAAAGCAAAAAGGGATCAATGGGTTGAATATTCAGTCGTCCTTGTAAAGAGGGATTTGTCTCTTTTAACATGTGAACCCGCGGGACAGTCGGACGGCCGTGTGGCCTGCGACTGGCTCCTGATCCCGAGGTGAGACGAAGGCCAGGTTATTATTTTCTTCTTGCTTATCGGGTGAGTGCTTTCCACTCGCCTCGCCACGCAACTTTTCTCCTCTGGAGGTAATTGTTAACCGTGACATAGACTTCACCTTGTGGCCGGTGAGTGACAACAGAAAAACGCTCTGCTGTGCTGGAGGTTTGTCCTTGCACCAGCTGCCACAGTATGATACATATTTTGTGCTTCAGAGGAGCTCAGTCGCAGCAGGTGGATGCATGTACACACACACACACACACACACACACACACACACACACACAAATCTCTATCTGAAGGTTAACCTAATAATTGCACTGACTGACTGTTAGCAGGCGGTCAATGCGATGCTAACAGCACCTTAACCACATTACCTTGCGTGTGACAGGGGACGGTGTGAAGCGGCTAATGCCTTAATTGCACCTGCAACTATACACTGACACACACACACACACACACACACACACAGACACACACACACACACACACACACACACACACAGTGCTGAAGGCCAGAAGACGAAGGCTCAAGGATAAGGCTCCAGGCACACCCCTCCCCCCACCTCCTCTACCACCTCTCTCTCCATCACTCTTTACTCCACCCTTGTTTACACCCCCCATCCCTTTTCTCTCTCTCTCTCTCTCTCTCTCTCTCTCTCTCTCTCTCTCTCTTTATCTCTAGCTCAGCATGCAGGGTTTTGTAAAGAGCCAGGCAGTGCTGGCATGAGATCTGGCTCCGCTCACACTGTTTTCATTCGGTGCACCGAGTGTCTGCTGCAGTTTCAGCCCAATGTGCCCCGTCCATCTGGACTGAGGAGACAGGAGGAGAGAGAGAGAGAGAGAGAGAGGGGGAGAGAGGGGGGAGAGAAGGGGGGGGGAGAAGGGAAGGGGAGAGGAGGGGGAGAGAGGGGGGGGTCCTGGCTCAAGCATCGGTCAGAGATTAACAAACGACTTTCAAAAAAGGAATACAAATAGGATAATGTGCATACTTGGGCAATAATAACGGAGGATAGAATACGTGAACAGAATTTATCCACCAAAACCGTTATCCCTGATTACCAATCCTGGGAAACCTCTCCAGACCGCCGGGGTGCCTCCAGGAAGCCCAGGTTATATGCAATTAAGCTGTCATTAGCACGCCACGCTTAGTTGTGTGCTATCCTGTCCAAGCTTTCTGCTAATGCATGGTACAATAAGCAGTTCACCCGAATGCCCAGTTTAAGAATTTTACCTCATCAAAAAAAAAAAATCCCAGTTTTTTGTGAACAATGAGCACCAGGCTTTCGCAATTTTCACCAAGCACTTGGAAAACCTGGAGCTTGTGGATCTTTGTGTATCATATAAGAATTATTTAAAACAAGTAGATCAAAAATTAAAACAACAATAGTTTTTTAAACCTCTTGGAAAAAGTTACATCCTGTAATTTAATTTTCAAGGTTATAACAGGGCATGCGTTTTATGTATATTTGATCCTTTGTTTTCATTCAAGTTAAATATATATATATTTATAATACTTATGTTTTTTTATTTTTATTTAATTCCCATTGAAATTTTACATTTCCAGGTGCACTGAAATGTCATTTTGGACAATAAAGTTTTTGTTAAAGCTTTAAAAAATATCCTGCTTTCATTCAATATCCGTATATATTATGTATAGATATTATAATATTACTT